TAGCAAATTGAAAGAAATATTTTGTCTTGCACCTAGTCTTGGGACATGTAGGTTTATTTGAGACAAGAGGTCAGGACAGTTTATCGTTGTGAAGGAGTTTATGTAGAAATATGATACTCATTCTGATTCTCCTATATTCTAAGCTCATGAAATTAAATTGATTGAGTAATACCTGATAATCTGTCCGAGGGAAAACGCCATTGTGCTTGTAACTAAGAAATTTCAGAAATTTTCTTTGAACACGTTCTACTGTATATTTGTGACATTCATAATATGGATACCATACCAGTGCACCGTATTCCAATTTAGTTCTTACAAAAGAAAAGTACAAAATCTTCAAAACTTCAATGTTGGTAAATGGTCTACAATTTCTAATTATGAAACCTAACATGTTTATGCTTTCAGAATCTACCTTGTTAATATGGTCCGTGAAGGTAAGTTTCTTATCAAACGTGATCCCTAAATCTTTGGTAGACTATGTGCGTGGTAGGATGCTTTCATTCATCATGTAATTAAATTTAATAGGAGCTTTTTTATTGCCAAATGTGAGGACTTATTAACATTAACAAGTAAATTATTTGACACAGACCAATTATAAAATGTTTGTATGTCGCATTGTAAAGTAAGACAGTCATCGATTGACTCAATTGAAGCAAACAATTTAAAATCATCAGCATAGGAAAGCTTACTACATGTTAAGTGATCTCCAAGGTCATCGACAAACGATATGAACAAAAGTGGTCCTAGATTTGATCCTTGGGGAACACCTGACGTTGGTTTGAAGAAATTAGAATTGTGGCCATTGTATGATACATATTGCTGCCTATTTTTTAGGTAAGAATTTAGAAATGTTAAACTGGATTTATCAAAACCAAAATGATTTAATTTCCACAGCAGAATGGTGTGATCTAAACGATCAAAGGCTTTCGAAAAATCTGTGTATATCACGTCTGTCTGTTCTAATTTGTCTATGTTGTGTGATACAACCTGTGTGAGTAAAGCTAAATTCGTAATTGTAGACCTTTTCTTAATGAAACCATGCTGGTGTTGAGCTAGTTGACTTTCCACACACGGATATATACGGTTATACACGATAATTTCGAAGACCTTTGCAAAGTTGTTTAATATGGTTATACCTCTGTAGTTGGTAATTAAAGCTGGATGGCAATATTGAATATATAATATAATGGTTTACTGAAAACATTACCACAATCTTTTACTAAGTATGAGGGGTACCAAGTCCGGGCCTGAGGTCATTTTGGTTTTTAGGCTTTTTATAGCATTTAATATTTCAGTTTCAGTTATATTATTAAAGTTTATATGCAAATTATTAACGCTAGGATCTTGATCATCAATTAGTGCACTATCAACAGTGGATGTAACATACACACTGCTAAAAAAATCACTAAACTTATTGACAATGTCTTGCGGATGGTCTAGTGTTCTGTCTTCATAAAACATAATTCCCGGTATTCTAGACTTTTGTTTTTTTGTTCGTACATGTGACCAGAATTGCCTTGAGTCAGATAATATCGTGTCTTGTACATCTCTTAAGTGTATATGCAGAGTCTATTTGGGTTTTTATAATGGATCTTAAATTTCTAAATTCACGTAAATGAAAGTCAGATTTAATTTTTTTTGAACTTTTCAAGATGTTTGGCTTTTATTTTTATATTTTGTATGATTTCTGGCGTGTACCATTTTGGAAATGTACGTTTAAATGTTTTGTATAAAGGAACATGTTCGTCTAAAATTTCGTAAATTTTGGTATATAGCATTTCTACAGCACTATCCACATTTTGACTTTCCTCCAAAAATGACCAGTTGGTATTTAGTAGAGAGTTGTACAATTCCGAAAAATTGGCTTTTTTTAAAATTATACGATTTTTGTTTAATATTTGTAGAGAAATAGTCATAACTTTCGGCAGCAACTTGTATACTAAATAGCAACTCGGGATGATGTGCATCTTCTTTTATAAGAGGTGAATTATCGCGTATTACCTTATTTATCGAGTTTGAGAATATAAGATCAAGTAAGCGATCTGATGAGTTGCGAATATCGTTACACTGTTGTAGGTTTAAAAAGTCAGATAACTGATTAATTACTAAACACTTGTGATCCTCATTGTTGGAAACATATTGCGGTATTTTGAAATCACCAATTATAACTACTTTATTATCATAGAGAAATTCTAATTGTTCTAACATATCAAATAATAATTCAAATTCATTTACAGGTAAAGATGGAGGTATATACATAACAATAATGTAAATAATTGTAATAATAATGTAAATAATATCATGACCCAGATTTAGCAGTGTTTTAAAAAAAAAAATAAGCAATTTGAGTAAGGGTTTTAATTTGCACAATCTATCTTCATCTTTCTGAGAATTGTCAGAAAAGTGTTATGTATTTGAGTATTAATAGAAACCTATCAGGTGACATAATTCCACTCACAAACCGATTATTGAACATATCGTCTTTGCTCCAATAGGCAGCTATTTTGGGCAATGGCACCAGGCCCGTTGTAAGTAGTATTAAAAAGGATACAATTTCTTTTTTGTTGGTATCATCCCATCCTACTTGTCTTTTACTTTTTGTCTTTCACTCTAGATATTGATTGGCATATTTGTTTGTTTTTATTACAATTAATTCTAAAACGTCATGGGATAAAAAATAATACGTATGCATCAAATGGTTTTTCTATTTCTGTAAGATCTAAACACCTGTTCAAAATTAACGCACCATTATAAATTTACCGAAATTTTGTTGCTACTTTTTTTGTAACCGGGAGTCATGTCAATTATTTTTTTTTGCATTGTAGGTTTGTTTCTTGACAATGTCACTATATTTCTTGTTTTTAATAAAACGTTAATTTTCGGTTTATACCGGGCGTCATAAAAATAGTGTTTTTTTTTTCGTAAATTTGTAACACCCTGTGGGGTATACCACTAACTCTAACATATCGCAATTAAAATCACATTGTAGCCCCATCTTTCCTTAACATTTTATTTTTTTATGCACTTTATTATCTCTATTATTAAAGGAGATACGCCGCCTTTTTAATTTTATGCATGATTAATAATGTAAATTTAAAATGAAACAATTTTATTCAATAATGAATACAAACAAAACATCAAGTTTTTTGAAACCTAATAACATGTAATACCGCCTTTGGATCAGATAACTGGCTGCATTCGTCGTGGTAAACTTCTTATTAGCTGCTGAATGCTCTCCTGAGGAATGTTTTCCCATTCTAAAAGAACAACGTTTTCCAGCTCTTGAAGATTCTGCGGTGCGGGTAAATGATGTCTAACACATGTTTTTAGAGCATCCCAAAGATGCTCTATAGGATTCATGTCCAGGCTCCAGCGGTGGCCAGTCCATCACCTGAATATTGACCTGATTTAAGTATTCCAAAACCGGCCGTGCGACATGAGGGTGAGCATTGTCTTCCATGAAAATAAACTGATCCCCTATAAACGGCGCAAAAGGCATTACATGATCTTGAACAATATTTTCCAAGTAAAATTGAGCATTCATTGACCTTGGACGAATTGGTACTAACTCTGTATGGGCATTATAGCAAATACCTCCCCAAAACATTCTAGACCCACCACCAAATGGTTCCTTCGACACGATGTTACAGGTGGCAAATCTTTCTCCAAGTCTTCGCCATACCCTTTCACGACCATCTGAAAATTTCAAGCTTACCCTGGTCTCATCGGAAAACAACACTTGTTTCCAGTCATCGACAGTCCAATTTGCATGATTTCTAGCAAATCTTAATCGGGCTACTCTATGTGTTGCTGTAAGCAATGGTCTAACTGCAGGCCTTCTACTAGCTAATCCGTCTTCTGGCAGTCAGAGCGGAAATCATAACATTTCTTATATTTTGAAGTTCATTGATAACCTCCTTACTTGTGCTTTTTCTGTTCCTCAAAACAATTTGACGGAGAAAACGCTCATCCATTCGACTCGTTAATTTCTTTCTTCCCTGCCCTTGTCTTCTAGAGTACAATCCTGTTTCCCTGTATCTTCTAATCATACGACTAATTGTGGAATGGTTAACATCTAACAGATTGGCCACATAACGCATACTTAGTCCTTCTACTAAAGTTAATGCTCTTACACACTCATCATTAGTTAAATTACATGGTCGATTCATGTTTCTAAATTTTGAGGGTTTTAACTTAACTTATCTTTCGATACTGACAAACACTTCTGACTTTTCATTACCAGAAAAGGTTTTGAAACTGTCAAGCTTTAATCCATTATGACATAAATCATCTACAATTTGTTACAATATTGCAGTAAATCGGTCAATAATAATAATAAGGTAACTTGATTTAAACACGACTATATGCGATAGCAAGATGAATAAAAACACATCGAGCTAAAAGGTGGCGTATCTCCTTTAATAATAGAGATAATAAAGTGAATAAAAAAACAAAATTTTAAGGAAAGATGGGGCTACAATTTGATTTTAATTGCGATATGTTAGGGTTACTGGTATACCCCACAGGGTGTTACAAATTTACGAAAAAAAACACTATTTTTATGACGCCGACCGAAAATTAACGTTTTATCAACAACAATAAGTATAGTGACATTATCAAGAAACAAACCTACAATGCAAAAAAATTCATTGACATCAGACTCCTGCTTACGAAAAAAAGTAGCAACAAAATTTCGGTAAATTTATAATGGTGCGTTAATTTTGAACAGGAGTTTACATTGATATTCTGGGAAGAGTTGAATACAAAATCTGTTTCTCTGGAAATATTAGAACTCCAAACATTCTGCTCTTTGTTAAGAATATCACTGTCGTTTTCACGGTCATTTTCTGGGCTACTTAGTTTGCCTTCTGAAAATGATGGATCAGACTGGGATGCAATTAGGGAATCACCACTTTCATTTTCTGAAGATGGTGAGAAGTTGGCATGGATAACAGAATTATCACTAGAAAAGGGTTCACTGAAGTCTTCATCTACATCATGCCGCGGCGATAGCTCAGTGGGTAAAGCGCCAGGTGAGAAGATGGCGATTACTCCGAGATCTGCGCGGGTTCGAATCCTGCCTGTGGCAATTGGCACCTGTCACAGGGTTTGGTTGTGTGTTCTACATCTTTTTCCATGTGTATTCTCCTTCTGCACAGTCGTAATGACTCTTAGAGGGAGAATGTCAATTTCTGTGGTGTGATTTATTTATTTATTTATCTTCAGGGTCCACTACATATTTTTCAATATGTTTTTCTCCTTTATCGTCTTGTTCTTCAGTATACTCTTCTATTTGCCCATTATCATTCTTCAGTTTGTTATTTTCTGGGTTTTTAAAGTTTTCTTCCATTTGAATGACTTCTTCATGGGACATATTTATTAAACATTTACTTAATTAAATTACTTAATTAAACAACAACTTCTTCATGGGACATATATATTAAATTTGAGCTCATGGTGAAACACACGCTCCTCTTTGCTCGCACTGTTATAAGTTAGTTTAGTGGTTTAAACTGCACTTTTCGTGCTAAAACTTCTCAAATATAGTTACCTAAATTATACCTACTGAGTAAGTACAAAAGATCTTTGATTGGACACTTAGAAGAGTCGTTATTCAAGAGTGAAGATACAAATATCTACTTAAGAATCTGTTGAACGTTAAGTACTTCTTATCAGGTCTACTTTTTTTCTCGGGCAAACGCTATCTCAATTTAATTTTTCATTACGGCACCCTAATATTCTGGATATCCGCTACCAACTGATCTATTTCTATTGCGTTATTTTTGAGTTATAAGAATAATGCCCGTGTGCATAAACTGCAAACGTTCCATTGAAAATGCGCCGCATACACGGTGCGCTAACTGCAACAAACCTATTCACGCTGCATGTATGGGTTTGGATACAGAAGAGGCAACACGCGTCACACGAATGAAATGCAAAAATATAAAAATCGTTTGTAATGATTGTCACAACGTAGGAGACAAAATCGACCAGCTTAAGCAGTTTTTAACTAATTTAGTTGAAAGCAAATTCGCTCAACTTGAAGAAAAAATGGCAAATAATACTGTCAAACTAACGCCGAAGCTTATGAAGACGTAGTCTCAGAAGCCGTGGACCGTATAAATAGGTCTCATAATATTATAATTCACAATATTCCCGAAAATGTCTCATCAGACGTCTCAGAAGAATGCAGTGGGTGATGTACTAAAATATATACAGGGTGCAAATCCAAGTATCCCAACCACTGTAAGGCGAATTGGCAAGCGGACCCATAATAAGCCTAGACTGTTAAAAGTCTCATTTTCTTCACCTCTTGAAGCTCGCACCATATTACGTAATAAAAAAGAAATTAGCACAATCCCCCTTTTCACATGTAAAAATTAATGATGATAAAACTCCCAAACAAACAACTTACTTACAGGATTTGCGAAAACGAACTGAAACTAAGAATGGATGCTGGAGAAGACGATCTAACAATTAAATACAGGAACGGAAAACCTAGTATTGTTCAGGTTCCAAAAAACCGAGCAAACTAACTGAAATTCGGATAATATACACCAACATTTCATCCCTTTTAGCTAAACTCAATGATTTTCTTACATTCACTCACATTCATCAACCACATATCATACTCATTACTGAAACATGGTTAAGTAATGTTATACCAAATTCAGTTATCGACCTGAATAATTATACACTATTTCGAAACGATCGTCAGAATGTTGCCCGAGGAGGGGGTGTATACCTGTCAAATGATAATTTCAAAAACTACAAAATTAGAACTCTTAACAAATCTATTGATGGAATTGAAAGTTTATGGTTAGAAATGACTAGTAACAATTTCTCATTTACAATAGTGGTTATTTATAGACCCCCCAACTCCAGTTATAATACAGATCTAGCACTTATAGAAGCAATAAAGGACATTAGTCTGGAACATTCCAACCTTGTTATTTTTGGCGATTTTAACTTTCCTACTATTGACTGGAATCACCTTACATACACAGACAATAATAATTCTGCAGCAGTTTTCTCCAATATGATACTAGATTCCAATCTTTCACAGTTGGTTAAGGAACCCACTAGATATCGTATCAACCAAAATCCATCCACACTGGATCTAATCCTGACTGATGATGAAAACCTAATTTCCCAAGTTGAATATCTGCCTCCTATTGGGTGTTCTGATCACGTGACGATCTCATGTACGGTTCAGGTTATCTCAAACACTTTTCCCAGGAATATCACAGTATCGATCAAAAAAATAGATTATATTAAGTTAAACGAACTCTTGCATAATTACGACTGGAATCAGCTCTATAACACTCGTGATGTAAATGACAAGTGGATAATTTTTGAAAAAAACTATCAATAATTTACTCAAGTCTTGTACAAGCACCTACAACAAAGTTCAAAATTCACATAAGCCATATATCACACAAGATATAATCAATAAGACCAAAACTAAACGTAGGTTATGGCGCAAATATAGAGCTACTGGGTCTCAGGCGGATTTCGAAATCCATCGAACATTCTCTAACATGTTGTCATCAACGAATAAAATAGCTCGTAGGGCTTATGAACACTCACTCTTATCCAGAGGGCCTAAGGCTTTTTACAAGTATACCAGACGACAACTTTCTTCGAAAATTGCAGCCCCCATTATCCGTAAAAGAGACGGATCCGTCTGCGACACTAACACGGATTGTGCCAACGAACTCGCCAAAACTTTCCAACTTGCATTTACCGATGAACCTCTAGGCCCAATACCTCCCATCTTGTGTCCTAGAGTATACGAGTCCTTAGAAAACATCACATTTACGAATGAAGCTGTCTGCATACAATTAAAGAAATTACCTATCAATAAATCACCTGGTCTGGATAACATTACATCAATACTACTAAAGAACTGCGCTGACGGTATATGTACTCCACTAGCACACATTATGCGAACCTCTTTTCTTTCAGCAAAGTTGCCCAAGATATGGTTAACCGCCACAGTTACTCCTATATTCAAAAAAGGAGACAAACTAGATCCTAATAATTATCGACCCATTAGTCTCACCCCAATTTGTGCAAAAGTTATGGAGAGGATTGTTGTTGAGTCATTGCTAAATTTTTTATTTGCGAACGAAGTGATTCCAATTACGCAACATGGATTTCTTCCTGGTAGATCCACGTGTACAAACTTACTCACCTGCTTGAATTCTTGGACATGTATGATCGATCACGGTTTGCCTGTAGACATCATATATTTAGACTTTTCCAAGGCGTTCGACAAAGTTCCGAAGATAAGGCTCCTTCATAAACTTGAACACTTTGGAATTAGGGGCAATATTTTAACCTGGATATCGGCTTTCTTAACAGACAGACAGTTCTCAGTAAGGGTTTGTCAGGACCACTCAGATTTTTTGGCTGTTTCATCTGGAGTACCACAAGGATCTGTGCTTGGTCCAATCCTTTACATAATTTTCACCGCAGACCTACCGTACCATTTAAACAACGGACATGCATTCTACGCTGACGACACCAAACTCTTTGCTAATCCATTAACGGATTCCCCGTCGCTACAACAAGATTTATACAACATAAATAAATGGTGTTCTGATTGGTTGATCCCTCTTAATATATCGAAATGCTCTGTTCTACATGTCGGAATACATAATCCTCATCGCCTCTACAGTATAAATGGTACACAAATCGCAGCGGTAGAACATCAGAACGATCTTGGTATAACCATAAATAGCAATTTAAGTTGGTCACAGCATATAAGTAACACTGTAAAAAAGTGTAACGCCATATGTTACATTTTAAAAAAAATCTTTCGAGTATCCTTCGCTGCAGAATTTCTCTCAAATATACAAGACTTTTGTTCGTCCTCTCTTAGAGTATAATGTAGCTATTTGGTCTCCCCCATCTTATCAGAGATATCAATCTTTTAGAATCCGTTCAACGGAGGTTCACCAAATGGATACCCCACCTTTTCCATAGGACTTATGATGATAGGTTGAGTTTACTCCATTTACCTCCATTAAGTCAAAGAAGAACCCGAGGTGACCTTATATTAGCATATCGGATCTTACATAATACCTATACTATTAATCTGGCTCACTTACTGACACTGAACGAAGACGAGAGACTACGCGGCCATTCTTTTAAATTAACGCGAGAAAATTTTAGCACCACCATTCGTAAGAACTTTTTCTCCAATCGGATTTTCCACTCCTGGAACAACCTCCCCGACACCGTAGTCACTGCACCGACCATCAACACGTTCAAAAACAGATATGATCGTGATATTGCCAATTGAGTGCGCGAGTGTCTTTTCGGGTGCGGGTAAGGTCATTTTTCGGACTGTCAGTGTACAAAGTGGTAGTAGACAATTTTCCTTTTATTTTGTAAGCTTAATTCCACTTGTATGTAGCATTTCTTGTTTAGTTTTAATTATATATTTAATTATATATTTTAGTTCACATGGTATAATTTTCACATTTACTGCTTGCGAGGTTTATATTTATATACACATGTCTAGGAAATTATTGCCTTATACATAAATTGACATATTCCTAATATGTTACATTAGAAATGTACGTTAAGTTAGTCCATGTAGCTTAAGTTTATGTTTTTTTATCATTTTTACCATTTGGGCATAATAGATGTTAAACATCTCTGCCCTTATTACCTGTTAATAATAATAATAATAATAATAATAATATTTAAATGTATGCTTGTTTTCTTGGTCATTTTGACGAATATTTTGCATAGCTCTTCTCAGCAGAACAAATAGATGAAACAGAATCCTCATAATCTACTATTCTTTGCACTATGACTTTATTAGAGAGTGCTGGTTCATTTTCTTTATTTATTTTTAAAGCCAAATTCAGAATTTTTCTTGTTCGATTACACATTTTTTCGGTCTATAAATTAAAAATATTATTTTACTATTAATTCTTAAAAAAAAATTAAAAATATTTACTTTTTTAAAATATACACAACTGATTCAGTGAACAATATTTCTTCAAATTAAATTTACTACCTCCAGGGACTCGTATCGTACACGAGCAATTTGTTAACTGTAATACGGTTTGT